AGACATTTATAGCTAAATGGATGCACATTGAGGTGATACTCTTAAGTGAAATAAATAGGACAAACATGTATAAATACCAAATAGTTTATCTGGTGTGAGAAACTGAAAGTGTAAATAAGGGCTAAAATGTATAATAGGTAATGTGAACTAGGAAGAAAAGGGGCAAAGGGGAAGGGGAAGTGGGAGGGGTAGGGGAAAGGAAAGAAGGAGATGGAATTAATATGAGAAAATGGAAAAGTGGAAACCAAATCTTTGTAAATAGGGAGGGGTGGAGGGGTTGAAGGGAGGTCAGGGGAAGGGTGAAAAAACAAGAACCAAGAGAGATTATGTAAAGGTGCAAATTTCCAATGATGAATGTCATTGTATTGTATACCCCAAATGTACCAATAAAATAAAATTAAAAAAAACCCACAAAACAAGTTGAAACTCAGGCTGTGCAACATAGGTACTTAGTGAGGCCTTGTCTTATGTAAAAAACAAAATGGCTTGGAATGTATATTAGTGCAAACCCTCTTAAATTAGCTCCTAATACCACAAATAAAAAAAATCAATCAATCAATAAATGCCACTAAGTTCTAAGTTGTAGCTGGTGATCTCATTATTAAGTTTATTGTTAATGTAATTTTGAAACTATTACAAACATACAAATATACTACATAAATGAATATATTAGAACATATAAATAATCATAATAATATCATTAGGAACCGAGATTTTAGTATAAAAAGTTAAATCAAAGTTTCAACTCTATAATCTTCATTTGAATTTCAAAAGTAAGAATTGTCAATGTAGAACTTATTTTTCTATTACTAAAATGAAAAAAAATCTACAGATTTATCAGATTCTCAATGTTCTCAGTGGTCACGATAGTGCATCAGACTAGACACCCTCATCCTTTGAGCCTCCCTTTCCTTTTCCAGACTTCCTCTGGTCATCCCTTCTGGTGCAATCCATCATTTCTTCTGCAGTAGAGTTGTGTTCCATCTCGTTTCCTTTCTAGAGTCCTAACTCATTAAGGGTAGGATAGTTGTCTAATTCATTTCTGCTTCCTCTTCAACCTTAATACTGTTTGTTAAATTAATTCACAGGGCAAGAAAAAATTCGGAGGTAACATGGAAAAGCCCCTTTTTACAGTTTGGACATTTTCTCTTCTTTTTGTCCCCAGATGAGTTGGAATCTTACTTCTGTGCATGTACAATTTGACACATTTCACCAAATTCTCAATTTACTGATCCCTAAATTGAAATTTAAAGCAAAGAAGGTGAAAGGCTATTATCATCCTTTCCCCTTGAGCTGGGGAAAAGATTCTTTATTTCAATTAAAGGAAGTTCACTCTGCTTTGTTCATGCCATAGAGAATACATGGATTGTTTTGGTCCAGGGGTGGTTAGGGGAGGAAGAAACAAGGGATGGTTTGTTCTGTCTATGGTTAGCAGGTGTTTGAATTTGCATTTCAAATAGAGGATTGGTCATGTACCAGCACTCACGTATCTTTCTCATCTTTGTGGCTGTGGCCACAAATAATTATTTGTGGCCACAAATAATTCACTATTAATTGGATGTCATGTGTTACTCCATGCTCTCTCACCCACTACGGAGCTTCTTGGAAGTCCAAGGGGAGCCTCTCTCACTTCTGCTACGTATGAACAGTAACTTCTGCATGATTTTGCCCTTTCACCAGATTGTGAGTCCTTTGAGATCCAGGATGATCTGTTGCTTTACTGCTTGCTGAGATTATCATAGGGTCTATGTGGCAGTTTGGTGATCACCAAACTAACTGTGTTCTTCCTAGCATAACGTAGATCACATACTGAGCCAAATTTGGAGGTAAATGTGGTTATCTGACTGATTTCTAGCCAGTCTTTAGCATATATACAAAGTACCTCTTCTAGGACTAGTCCCTAGAAATTTTCGCTTATTATCTTTCACACATTCAAACTCTCATAACACCATACAGAAGCCTTGGAAACCACATGTTGAAGAAGGTGGAGACATAGATGGAAAGAAACAGGTTCACTAAAACACTGCAAAGAAGACACCCTACTTCCGTTGCTCCAGTAATGCCCTCTTACACCACAAACTTAGATCACACTTCTACTATGTTACACCACTGGAAATTGTTATAGGAGTCAGCTGTCTTGTGGATGTGGGTGCTAAACAGTGTTCATGAAGCAGAATGCTCTAGCAACCCTCCAGTGGTCAATAGAGCAAATGACAAGAATTTAAGTTTAGAGAAAATGTCCAGATCTAGGTTGAACACCTACTAGTTTCCCTTGAGACCATGGAAAGTGCAGATTAGGAAACTTGTCTTTGTCAAAGAGGAGGGTGAGGTGTGCTTGTAATCCACGCCACCATGCCCACTGGGTCTTCTTTTAAGAAGCTTCATGGACTAGGAGGTGAAGACACTCCCTCCGGTCCTACTCTACATAATCCCCATTGTACCTCCACATGAACTTTCAAACAAAGAAAGAAAGGAATGAATAGAAAACAAACACACAAAAATGTTCTTTCAGCCACAGGGTAATCTTTGCCTCAAGATCCTTGCCTAAAGCTGTCTTTACCCAATATTTTATTGTTTAAATCAGGGTCCTGTGCCCACTTTCGGGGAAATCATGATTCATCATTAGTACTTTTAGTTGACATCATGTTGTCCAGACAAAACTGATGTTGTTTTAGCAAGAAATATGAATAAATAGTTGATGGGTCAAAAATGAATGATAACATCACTCAGGTCTTTAATTAAATTTTGCTGAAACCAGAACTCATTTCTCCAAATCTGATCACTTCCTTAGATTTGATTGCAACATTCGTGGTAGCGTAGTTTTCTTTAGTATGGGCACCTCAGAAGTCTTACTGGTGTGAAAAGCTTAAAGCTATAGATGTCTCTGTATTCTCATCAGCCACACGTTCCTGCACGTGTCAGCACTTAGTCCTCTCTTGAGTGCCAGTGTAGACACTTAGGCCCCCTCAAGGCAACCAACAACAATGTCAGCCAATGGAAAGAATCAAATGCCATCCTTTAATAGTTTTCGCTCCGAGTAAATTTTCTACCATGGTCAAAGTTTTTAACATGAACAGTTCAACCCTAGAATGGCCCAGTTTTCTTATTTTTTAATGAAAATATTAAATTCAGAGGTGATTACATAGGTGTGGAAATGTGTCTTATATCCTTAATACTCAGCCTTTCTAGATTCTCCTTCCTCCATATACTTCACTTATTTGAAATCTTTTTTGTAAACTGTAAAGAGAAAATGAAATAAATGAATTTATTATAATAGTTTACTTTTGAAAAGCATCTCTTTTCATGATTAGCTTTAATTATGATGGTGATTACTTATCTCTTACTGAGTGTCATGGGTGTTACCGTTGGCCTTTTATAAATATCATCTTAAATACTGCTATCAACTTTATGATTATTATTGACATTTCATGCACTAGAAACCTGGAATTCAGATTCTAAGTTATTTTTTCAAGGTCACCAGTCATTGAAAGATTAGAAATCTGGCTTTTCTGATTCCAGAAGGATTCCTGATTCCTTGCTTTTCACAAACTGATCTCCCTTCCTTCAGTTCTCACTGCCAACCTCACTGTGGGGCTCAATTCCACAGAGATTTTATGTATCATTCACTAGTTAATCCTTTTTTCTCAGGTTTCTAGCAGAGTGGCCATTCCCATTCATTGGCTGAGACATTTATGGACAGCCTGTGAAATTATTTATCTTTCTAGCTCAATAACTTTCCCCCATCATTCCTTAAATCTGAGGCGCTCACATCTAGCTTAGTAAATAAACACAAGGAAGAAAAAACCCACATCAAGCGGATAGATGAACAGACCAATCCTGTGGCTGAGGAGAAAATTTCCTCTTTTTCCATTGTTGGTCTAATAGGCAAGGTGTGTGCCAACAGATTTTATAAGTACCTGAGCACAGCAGCGAGAAGTAGCAACCGAGTTCAAAGACACACAGGTGGTTTTGGTATTTTCCCAAGGAGTTGGCCAGGAGAGACCCGAACCAATCTGCTCTAGATGGAGGGGAACAGTAAGAAGGAGCATCGGGCTTTGCTCAACCAAGGAGAAGAGGATGAGCTGGTGAGTGGCCCCTTCTTTTCATTATTTTTCCCAAGGCTGTGAGCTGCGCTACACTCTCAGGTAAATGAGAGGACAGACTGCAGCTCTGAGGATGCTATCGTGGGCCTGGAAAGGGTGAAGTCTGGTAGGGCTTTGTGAGCTGCAAGACACAATCATACTGAGGGGGTATCTACAGGTGCTGAGGTGGTTGTGTCCTCTGGGTGGTAGAGCTCTTGCCATCTCCATAGTGGGTGGCCCAAGTGATGCTTCCTAGACATTTGCAGAGTCCTCAGAGTGCATGCTCACATGGTGGTCATCCAGGTGTGTCTCTGTGTCACCTAGGTCACCATGTATTCAGAGACGCAACTTCAGAGATGTAACTGGTAAAAATGGAAACTCTTCTTTTGCTGTGTCCGCATAACCTGGACTCAGGGTGCTTTGGGCTGAGGTCATGCTTTTCCCTAAGATCAAGAGAAGTTTTAAACACCAGGTGCTGAGGAAATAAATAATAATGCATTTCCTGGGATTCTAGCACATATTAAAAAGAAAGTTTCATGTCTTTGATTCTTTTTTTTTCTGCTACCACTTCTTCCAAACATATATAAATCTTTAAAAGAACATCATTAAATATTGAAGACTCTTACAGTGTCTATGTGGTGCTGAGGAGTTTGCATTTAGGATTTAATCCTCAGAACTCAGTAATAAAGGAACTAATTGTATTTCACAGAAGAGAAATCTGAGACCAGGGAGATTAAATAACTTGCCGCAGGTCATTAGTCTGCAAAGGACAGGCTGGGAATCCAGCCACTCTGTGATCCTTTCCACACCAGGGCACCCACTCTGCAACAGGGTCCCCAGTTAGACAATGGGAAAGGAGACAGGGGAAGGGACAGAAGAGTAACAGGGGCCAAAGAGAGCCCAGAGAACATGGCTTTTATATCAGAAGGTGTCTCTTTCCTGTCCGGCCTCGCTGCTTCCCTGAGTGCTGTGGGAAATCCACACCTGCTTTCACCACCTCACCTCCTCAGTTAATTTAGGAAAAACATGTGATGTCATGTAGATTACATCTGTTGCTGTGTGGTCCAGTAGGGCAGCCTCTGGCCTCCTGTGGTTTTTCGAGTACTGGAAAAGTAGCAGGTCCAAATTGAGATATGCTGTATGTGCAAAATACTTATTGGATTTTGAAGAACTTCATAAAAAATGGAAACTATCCTATGAACAATTTTTGTATTGGTTACATATTGAAATGCTGTTCTTTTAGATAGACTGTGTTGAATAGAATCAACTTTGAAAACTAATTCCATCTGCTTCTTTTTACTTCTTTAATGTGGCTGGTAGATTTAATAAGACAAATGTGGCCCATATTCCTGCATTTTTATGCATGCTGAATACTATGATAGTACAGTGCTTTACAATTTTCAGACTAAAGGGATTAAAAGAATTAAAATCTATTTACCTGTGCTCATTGAGGATCGCCTCTGTGCCAGGTCCGATATATTTTGAACATGTGGATGAGAGTTCATGGAAACCTTATCATGATCTTCATTCTCCTCTCTAATCAGTTGTAGTGTTGTGAGGATGATGGCTTGGTGTTTTAACTGAGGGAAGGAATTGGTATCCAAGGATTCTTCTTTCTTTCCTTTTCCTTTTCTTTCTGTGAGTGATCGAACATTTCTAGAGACTGCCACTGAAGTGTTCGATTTGGAATCTCAGCATGCTGACCTCACGCTCAGGGAACTCTGGGGAGTGGAGCTGGCTGCAGATTTCTCTCTCACAAAGCTTACTCTTGGGCACAGAGCACAGAGGCAAATCCTCCTCCAGCAGATTAGGTGACCCAAAGGGTCAGGTGGGCCCGTGGGAACTCAGGTGGCCTCAACACACAGGCTACAGAGGAAGCTGGGGCTCAGCTCCAGGCAACTGCTTTCCTGCAACCCAGCAGTGATCAGATCTGCAGCGTTTTGAAGGGAAGCCAGACCTTTGGGTTTTTATGTGATATAGTCTGGTTATGAATTTCAGAAATTAATTTTTAAAAATAATCAGTAGGTCAAAGTAAACGTGGACAGGGCCAGTCTGTGACTCTCACAGTCTTCCCCACATGCTCTTCATTCCCTGAAGGTTGCCTTCCATCTACCCTGACTTCTACTTGCATTCATCATTTCAAATGAGCAATCACTTGGGATGGTGTGAGAAGCTCTCAGGTGAGAACTAGACACTGTAGGAGCAAATAATAAATTCCTTCAATCAAACACCCGGGAAGAAGCTAAGCACATGGGGACAGCCTGTGAATTATTCAGGTGCAGCCTGAGGTTGTTTTGCTGAGCTCAGCACAAATGAAGCTTTGTGTTAGTTTCTAAAGCGGAACTTGAACACCCCGGTCTCCTGTTCTCAGGCCCTCACTCCTGGGTGGGCGGTAATGTTCCCATCCTGGGTACATGCTGGCGCTTGACAAGCAGTGTTTCATTCCACCTGCAGGACAGCCCAGAGGACGGACACCCTCACTTTACAGACCTCGATTTTCTTCCCAACTTACTCTACCCAACCCCGCCTTCCCCAGTATGGTCTAGCTCTGAGGGTCTTCTTTTCCTTTAAAAAAAAAATTTTTTTTTCAGTACTTGGGATTGAACCTAGGGTTTTTGCACTGAGCTACACCTCCAGCCCATGTTTTATTTTTTATTTTGTGACAAGTGTTTGTTAAGTTCCATATGTGGGACTCAAACTTGCAATCTTCCTGCCTCGGCCTGGTAGAGTGCTGGGATTAGAGGTACCTGCACCCTGCCTGGTTGACTCCTCTTTTACCTAAAGCTTGTCTTTCCATCCTCAGACAGCTTTTCTCATCTTCTGTTGAGGTCCTCAGAAGACCAGCAGCCCCAGGACCCTTCACAGCACATGCTCTCTCGAGCCTGGAGCGTGCAGCTGGGGTGGATGTGGAATGGCTGTGGCCTTGGGCTGCCCTGGCTGGCAGCCCAGTTCGGTTAGACCAGTTATCCTGCCTGAGTTCCCAGGCAGGTGCAATGGTAATGCCTAGTGCTACTTAGCATTGTGGTGAGAATGAAATAAATGGACATAGCTTTTCCAAACATGTCTTCTGTGAAACAGTGTGTCAAGAGGTTTTCTAGAAAGGTCTCCTTTTTCTCCCTGTCACTTAGATTTGAGAAATAAGAGGAGGAAAATGTAGACAGAGAGCAGCAGGGATGCTCAGGGTCTCAGATACATCCCAGTTCTTCACATAGTCTGCATTTCCCACACTTACGGATCTCTGGACTCCTTCCTGCATGCGGGTGTGCAGGTGTGCAGGTGTGTGTGTGTCCATGTGGGTAGAGGCACGCACAGATTCTCTCCTGGCCGTTCCATCGAACTTCACAAGAAAGAAAGGACGGGCCGCTCTCAATGAGTGACAGGTGGTGTTTCACACCGCTACCCTTCTGGGGGGAACCATCACTGTCTCCTCTCAGCCAGGCTCACCTGGAGGTACAACGTGCACGTCAGCCTCTGCTCCAGGCTCCTCCCTGGCTATGCGCACTCACACATTTCTTTCCTGCAGAGGATCTTCACCCTGGCCCCACTGAACCCCGAGGGCTGCCCCTACTCACATTAGTTGCAAAGCCTGGCCAGGCCTGAGTGCCTGTTCTGTACCTAGATACCCAGTGCCCAGATGGGACCATTCCAAGTAAGAGTAGCAAGCAGCCCTAGAAGGAAAAATGAGTGCTTGGTGTATACAGCGCAGACTTGATAGGAGGGCATTTGGCTTCCTACTCCTTTTCTCCTGCAAACTGTGGAGGAGCCCTGAACTCTGAAACGGCAGATGTGGAGCTCAGCCGTGTGCTCTGCTTTATTCTGCAGCCAGCCATCTAGTGGTGGAAACCTTTCTGGACCTTGCTGGTTGCCTGAAAATAATGCCAGTCACCCTCCTGACTCACAGGTTTGGGGAGGGTTATGTACAAAATATGGAAAGTGCTATGTAAAGGGATTTATTTGCCTTGCATTTATGTGATGAAAATTGAAAAATGCAGACATGCATACATTAGGTAAATGTGATGTTGAGCATATTTCCTGTTTCTCTGATGAAAACTTTGAGAATGATAATTGCTGGGGTTCTATCATTACAGAGAGAAATAGTATGTGATATGGAATGTTAGGAAATTTGAGTGTTTAGATTAAAACACATAATATGTATTCCTTATCTTCCATTAAAAGGCTCTTTCCCTGCTCTCCCAGCCCCCCAAAGTATTCAGGGATTAATATGAAAAGGTGAAAATTGAAATGGAAAAGCCAGCCCTATTGGCTCTCTCCTGTCAACATATATATTGCAATTTGGATGAAGGCAAGCTTAACAATCTTCAACTGACACGTAGCTGGGAGACAGAGATAACAATACAGTTTACAGGATCAAGTTTTAAAATCTTTTTCTAGGCTAGATTTTGGGAGAGAACAGTCAAGATGCCATACAATGAGCTCTACCACTGAGTTGTTGTTTCACATTATCATTAAGGCATAGAAGGAGAGTGTGAGGGACTCGGGCTTGGGGTCTGTCCATGAAAAGCTAATGGAAGTGCTTGACTTGATTATGACTAAATTGTTCTTGCAGCCTGATGCAGCTATGAAGTTAGTCCTGGAATGTCTTGATAGAAGTTTTTTTTAGCAGGCGAAATAAAAATAGTTCTGTTCTGATTTGTGCTTTTAGGGAAACCTCTAGGAAATTATAGCTAGTTCCAGAATTAGTGTATTTGAGGGGGGGGATATCTGTTTATCACAAATGAAAACTGCAGTATTTAAAAGAAACTGGCGGTGGTTCCCCAAATAACAGCTATGGTGGCTGTCTTCCAGTCTTCCTGTAATGGAGTGGATGACATGGAGAATCAATAGAGGTCGGCAGACTCTGTCCTGGTTAAATTTCCTAACTGCTGTGCTGCAGGAATCTCAGGATGACACTCTACCAGTGACTTCGGCCCTTGTGTAATCTCCTCCACTTGAGGGTGGAAAGAACCTATAAAATATAAGCTATGATTCCTATGATTATGCTT